TAAGGCGGCTTGGCCAAGTGCCAGTAAAAGTTGGTTGTTAAAAAAGTATTCTTTAGTAGTGCAAATTATTCATGTCACCATTTCCAAGTAACTTCTTTGTGGTGGTCCAGCGCCAAGTGCCTGGAGGAGAGATGTTAAGATATAAAATTTTGGCTCTTACATCTAAGCATTATTAATTTCCCACCCCAAAAATTTTTTAATTAAAAAAAAAAATTCAGCTTATTTGTGGTGATGTTGTGTAAAACACAAAATGTTAGGAAAACTATCATTACTAAGATTTAATTCAGCCCTTTACTTCCCTTAATAAATTTGTGAGTTATAACTTTTTATTTTTTATTATAACATTTTTAATTTATTATCTATACAAATCAAATAAAATAACTTTTATATAATATTTTGTTAATTAACTATTAATTCTGTTAACTGATTGTTATAAACAACATGAAATTTAAATTTAATTTTATTTGTTAATTTTGTTAACGAAATGTTAACAGTTAACTAACGGTCAATATTCAATTATAAAAAACATAAAATTTAAATTCAATTTTATTTGTTAGTTCCATTAATAAAATGTTAACAGTTAACTAACTGATTTAATAATTAGTTAACAGATTTAACAGTCGACTAACAGACTTAATAATGAGCTAATAAAATTAATTGTCAACTAATAAAATGTTATAACATGACGTAAGTAAAGGTTATTTTTTTCAATTTGTATAAATGGATGGTTAAAAATATCATAGTATAAGGTGATGAGCTAAAACCTATATCTTTATTAAGGTATAGGACTAAAAATAGGTTTTTGGCCTAAAGTCTAACGGGCATTCCATGGTTGCGAAACGTCTTGATCCTTCCATCCCATCCTGCTGCAACAATAACAAGTCCCCATGTCTCTGATGGGACCATGCTGTTGCTGGTTCTCCAGCAATGATGCTGCTGCTGCTTATGGTCTGCAGTTCTGGATGCATAAACTTCATCTTCTCCAAATGTTACATCCCACAAATGAAGTTTTTCCTCAGGCCAAGTGGCTGAGCTGCCCCTAAAAGAAGTCACATCCATGGATAACCAGTTACCGATAGAGAATTGACCTGATTCTCTGATCCGGCAAGCACCCTCTAAGTGATCGTGTCCTGTGGAACAACAATGGGGACCAACACCAACGTGCATCTGCCCCAAACCAGGGCCTGACCATGGTACCGCAACAGACACATCTTCACAGAAGAAACGTTCACAAGAACTCACTGATTTTTTATGCTTCTGAGACTGTATGCCAAAATTGTTGTAGTTCCAGACATAAACATGACAGTCCTCTCCAACTGAGATTATATGTCTCCCAGTTGAAGTAAAAGATGCCGACATCTGGCTCCCTGACTTTGGAACACCTGCATGGATTTCATAAAATATCAGTTGATGGACATGGAGCAATGGGGTTCCAACGATGCATAATTAACAAAGAATATGAAAATACAGGGAAGGTATAATTTAATCTTCAAGTCAATTGCCGATTAAAAAAAAACAATTCAAGTCAATTAATCAATGATAAAATAAAAAACTTGGAGTTGTCTAAAATGAATTGAATATAAAATGAATTTATATATTCAATGTATGCATCATAAGCAATACTACTCGAACAATGAACGTGTCAAGGACGAGAAAAGCAAGAATCAGAGTTCAAATACATGTAAGCCAGATGCTAAACTAGATCCAAGCTTTAGAACCAGCTGCGAAGCTTGATGGAAAACGTGATTAACTTACTAAAATATTATGTTTAGAAAAAGATGATATTATCTAGTTTTGTGTTTGATCTTGAAGCATTCTATTCAAAATCTTGAAGCATTTTATCAGATGCATGTACATCTAAGGTGTATGTATGTAAATGTTAGCACCAATATGAATTTAAAAGTAAACAAAAGGCTCGAACAAAAACTTGAGAAAATTTAATAACTTTGTTGACATTAAAAGTATTTTCAAACGAGGTCCTAATGAGAGGCATTAGCTTTCTCATAACTTAAGTACACTGAGAAGCAAAACGATCCAACCAATAGAATAAATGCATTCAAGATCCTTTCATATTGTATATAGCTGAATTAACCTTTACTGCTAAAATTCTACAACAGATCTCAAACTGATTAAATAGCTTCCAGAAGTTGGATAAGAAAATAAAACTTCATAAAATAAAAAAATTTGGCATTCGATTGCCAGATGCCTTACTGATAAACTCATCCTATTCCTGGGATGGATTTTAGGTAAAGCTGAAGGCGAATTTAGAAGACAATGATTCACGACTTAACAAATTAAGCCAATATTTAAGAAGTCTCATTCAGTAAAACTAAACAGAGGTTTAAGGAGGCATGAAAGGTGTTCTATATAGATCATCAATGTTCCATATAAAATATTTTCTAGCCAACGGCATCCATATAAGGTTAAAATACAGTCATCCACCCAGATGAAAGTGGAAGAATTAATATGAGATATCACAAATAAATGGTCAAGCGAAATTTCAACTTCAATGTTATATGAGATGTATGACTTCCGCTCATCACAATGTTCCATGAAGTTAGAATCTTTCCTCCCAAAAAGAAAAATTATACTGTGCTTATGGACAGATAATCAAATTCTTAAGGACTCAAAAGACATCAAAGTTGAAATTTAGCTCTCAAAGATCTTCATTAATGAGTTAAGATTTTAAGAATTTCTTACCTCTAAATTTATGAACAACATCTAGTCCATCAAATATTCGGACTTTGGAGTCTTCTGAAGTTATCATAAATCTTTGAGATTCATCTTGACAGCACTGCAAGTTGAGGTGAAACTAAATGTTAATAAAAAGATTATTCTCAAGTACAGTATTTACAGCACCAAGTGTTAAAGTGAAAAACCTGAATGCCTGTAATTCTGTTGCCAGAGGCTTTCTTTCTGCCCTGAATATGGATCTCTGCCGTCAGCTTTACATCATCACCTGCATCACCCAGATAACCAGATTAGTTCCAAAATCGTAGATAGGCACTGCATTAGAAAATGACCAGTGGACCAACTCACATTCAAGATGAACAAATAGAATTCATAATAAAGGAAGCATGCAATACCTAATGCCTCATAAAAGCGGCACCTGCCTGTAATGGTACCAACAATAAAACCCTGCTTGCATAAAAGAAGATAATATATGGTTACCAGTTTAAACTTCAGGACTAGAAATCTTAGTAGTATAAAAAAATCATGCCAAAGGTTGATTATTGATAATCAGACCTTCCCATTGTTCTGGTAGCATATAGCAGTTATAACATCTCGCATATCAGCCCAATCAACAACTTGCTTCTCAGACACTCCCCAAATTCTAACTTTTCCATCTATGCAGCCACTGATGAAGAAATTCTCATCATTGGGATTGAACTGAATGCATGTCACTGTTCCAATCCAAAGAAGACAGACAATTACATTTCTGCGAGTGCCATTATGTAGTGTAGACAGGAAAAGTAATGAAATATAGGTAACTCTAAATGTAAAAAGAAGTAATATGATTAAATTTGCAGAACCAAGGGATGGAAATAGGAATTGAGTCTTATCATATTTACCATAATTATTATGATGGAACTGATTTAGACAATGATCACAGCCCACTTGCCAGAGACGAACAGTTTTATCCATGGAAGATGAAAGAAGGAACTGCAAGAAAATAAATAAGACAAACCAATGGAAAAGATCTAAAGACAATCAAAATTAAGTAAATAAGCTTTTAGATTTATGTGAAATTAACTCACATTTGAACTGGACCATGCAAGATCTAAAACATCACTGCTATGACCATGAAATTCTTGGAGTGGCGACTCTTCAATCTGAAAATTGTATTTTGGAATAATCACTGGTGCTTGACTTGACATTTTCCCAACAAAACCGGATTTCCTTTCTTTCATCTTGCTATAAATATTGCTCCCAGTCATGAAGGGTTCACAAGAGGCATCTGTTGACGTTACTTGCCAGATTCGCACAACACCATCCTCACCACCAGTAGCCAAATACTGCCCATCTGGACTAAAGTTCATTGTCCAAATGAAGCCCTTATGAGCTTGAATTTCTTGTTCCATATAAAGTGCTGTGAACTCCATGTACTGCTTCTTGTTTGGCTTCACCTTGATTCCATTTATCACAGGCACTTCAATATATGGTTTTGACACCTCAGGTGCACATCTGTTATGTCTTCTCCTCATTTTGACAATATGTTTCCACAACTTTTTGAGTTTCTTCTTGTTTACATTAGCATTCTTATCATCCTCTAAATGAACTTGAGCTTCTCTTTGCTCAAATTCTTCAGTAGGAGAAAGTCCATTATACTCACCCTGAATAACTGCCTTCTGGTCTTGTTCCCATTCATCAGCCATCGAGTTAGTTTCACATGTCCTTTCCCTTTCACAACAAACAAAATCTACTTCAGAAACATCACCATGAGAAACTGAGGAGCTCATGACAGCACCACTAGACTGAATAATCCTCTCAACACCCAGAATTTGTGATGAGTTGTCTAGGCAGACTTCATTCTCAGGTACGAACTCATCAAGACCGATTCCATGAAAAAATCTCTGTCGTCTTTGCTTGATACTCTGTGGCTCATCCATCCAAATTTCATACCCCAACTTTAGACACCCAGCTCCTTCCTTAGCTACAACAGACTCTTCATTTGACAAGCAATCCACTGAATCAAAGAACACATCACCGTCTCCCTCATCAGAGCTCAGCATGTCTTGCACTTAAGACCAATTTTCCACATCAAAAACCCCTTTGTATCAGTTCCTCTGTGCAACCAATTAATACCCCTACAAATCCCCAATTCAAGGACCGAGTTTTACTCATCCAATGTGTAAAACAATGGGATTCACTCGGAGTAACCCAAAAGAATACAGAATTCACAAACTGAGGAAAATACTAGGAACCAACTTCTAACCCCAGCAAACTACCAATGGTAAACCATCTTTAGCATGTTCTAGAGTTGAAACCCATAAGATGTCAACACGGAATTACATTAAAAAATTATAGCCAAAACCGGGAAATGATACAATAATCTAAGCTAATGGCAAAGACTAGCGACCAAAATTTCAAGATTTCGAGGCAGAGTACCTTGGGTTGCTTGCAAAGCAACAACACAATCCAAAAACTATCACCGACCCTCCTGTGATTATGGTTTGTCCAACAGCTCAGAGGTCAATTTCAGACCTTGGAGCAGATAAACAAAGAACCCTGAAATTTCTAAGTTCTCTGCATCAACCCCAGGAGCAACCTAAGGCTGGCAAGTGTAAATAACAGGCAAGAAAATGGCGGAGAAAGGAAAAAAGTTGTTTGTCAACTTCCAAGACAAAATGACACGCACGAGCGGCGCAGCCTGGGAAACATGGAGCTAATGTTACGCCCTCTGCAGGCTACTGCCTCCCCCTACCCCCTATTTCTCTCCCTTCCTTTGCCTTTCTTTATGGTTATCTCAATATCCCACCAAATCTGTAACAGAAAAGTTAGAATCAAAATTAATGGCAATCTCCATTGAAGGATCCAGAAAAGGAAATTGAAAAATACAAGACAAAAGCCAGATGAAAAGATTTGAATTAAAAGCTGAATTTTTGAAGACTTTTAAAAGAGAAAATTTCAATCAAATTCATATCCAATTCAGCAATTGAATTTTGGGAAAAGAAAATTTGATCAGCTTTTAAGAAGGGAAAAAGTTAAGCAAAGTAGCTACTGTAACATAAATAATAATAATAACCATTAAAGCTAGAACAGTTGGTTGGTTTCTGCTACATGATTAATTTACACTCCTTTGTAAACTTCTGTAACGGAACTTATAATGGAGAATTACATGAAGCAGCAAACCAGCATGCAACAAGATAATGAAATAAAGAACGCGGGACGCCGCAAAGGGTGCAGGCTGTAAGACACTATCACTGGACTAGTAGTAGTAGTAGAAGACAACTACGATGACAGAGAAACAGAAACGACAACTAGGGGGTGGTTATGCTGCATACTGGTAGGTTGTTAGCCTGTTCCCTTGTTTGGTTCGAGGGAGCGTGGGGAGAGATGATTTTATTTTGATGAATTAAATTAAGTGATTGGATTAATAAAATAATTTAATTAGTTATAATTTTTTTTTTTCACCAGACGGAACATATTATAAAATGTTAAACGTCTCGTTTAGGCCAGTGATATAGATCCTCAATTAGACTCATTCACCTCGGTTAGACTCATTCACCTCGTGTGAATTATATATTTGATCTTTACAAAATACTTTTTTTTATCTCCCAATTAACATATACAAATAATTACAATTTGTTAAAAAAATATGTAATAAAATGTTAAAGGCGGACAATAATTAATATTTTCTTAAATGAATAATTATTGTATTTAAAGATACCAATGTTTAGATGCACTCTCCACGTGGGTGCTGGTGGTCATGCTTTTTCGTATGAGAAGTAAAGAAAAATACAGCACATGATTAGTAAGTTGACTTCTTAATCAATATTTAAATAGATACTAAATTATTAATTATATTTTTTACAGTAAAAAAAAAAGATACCAATATTTAGATTAATTTTAATGTTAAGTAATAACGTTAGTTATTTTATTATTTATTAGCTTACAATTATAATTAATAGTTATTTTTAATAATCAAATCAAATAAAATTAATATTTTAAAATATAATATTTAAAAATTTGTAGTCCTGGAAACTATATTGTGTGGGTGGCCCCATGACTGTAGGTATTTAAGGAAATTTTTTTATAATATTTATAATATTACATAATATTATAAATAATATATTATTTTACATATTATGAAAACATAAAAAATACTTTTAATAAATTATAAATGTATGAAGATTCATTAATTGCATCTTTGCCTTTTCATAACTTAGAGTAATAAATTTTTTTTATAGTGTGAACAAAAAAGCATCAATTTTTAGTATTTATAATAAAAAAATTAAAATTCACTTATATATCATTTTTATTAATATTATTTATATAAAATCTTAACAGTTGATTTTTTTCATTATCAACAGTTGGTGCTTGTATTTTTAGGTAAAGGATAAAGGCTGGTGTGGTGGAGCTCGGTCTTTGCGATGTTGTGGAGCAAAAAAGTAAATACTGTATCGTATCGGTCAGTATGGGTGGTACATATCAGTTTTTAGAGTAGATTGAAACGTAATAAGAATGAATTTTATTTTGGTTAAAATCTAATGATTTCGATCAAATTTTGGTGTACTAACCGAAAT